TATATATATATATATATATATATATATATATATATATACATATATACTAAAATAAACTATTACTTGTACTGTACTATTCCTACTTTGCGGTTTTTCACTAATCGCGGGTCTTCAGGGTACGGATCCCCGTGATAAACGAGGGACTACTGTATTCTTAATACACCAATTTCAAACAAAACTGTAGTCTTCACTCTATTTTAAAAGCCTGGCAATTTTTAAAGCGATGTTGTCCAATATTTACAGAAGTTCGTAACTTATCAGCCGTGACATCAACCAGAATGTGGAGTACTGAACCTTGATCATGGGGTTACATTCTAGACACCACCACGATAGGTGAAAAACCATAGGAACGTTATACAGCAGTCCCTCGTTTATCGTGGGGCATCCATACCCTGAAGCCCCGTGATAAGTGAAAAACCGTGAAGTAGGAATAGTAGTAAGTAGTAGTTTATATTAGTATATATATATATATATATATATATATATATATATATATATATATATATATATATTATGGCGTTTTAAACCCTTCCCACACCCTGGCAATATTCTAAATAATGTTTCTAAACTCTAAACGCTCTAAAAGAGCACCGCATGTCATGATTTCAGCTCTCTGCTTCCTCTGCTCTTTGCCATCTGCAAGCGCTCTTGGCCACGCCCACTTTTCCGCTCTGCACGGAGAACAGCTGATCAGCTGCAGCAGGAAATTTATCCTACAGTGTGGGCTGCACAAATGTGCAGCAGGTGCTAAATAATTTAAAATAATTTATTTTAAATAAAATTTCCATGCCGATCGTGCGGCTCATCCATCAGTCAGTCTACTGTGTGTCATGTCCAATCTTATTTTGAAAAACCATGATAAACGAACCACTATATTTATTTTAGTATTTATAAATATTTTAAGGATTTATAAACCCTTCCCACACTCTTGCAATGTTCTAAACTCTTAAAACTAGATTATTTTAACAACACATATATGTATATTTACTGTACAGTACTGCAAAATTTGACTCACCAGCTCTGCAGACCAGCAGCTCGGTTCCGGTTCAGCAGACCTACCCTGCAGCGACGAAGTCCTCCGCCCCATCCAGGTTGATGTGCACATGGATAATTGAGCTTCAGGATTATTTGCGACTTTCCTGCCAGTTCTGTGAGCTTCATTGATTGATCGTTACTTCTGACTTTACGTTGCAAAACTTGCCTCCAAACTTTCTGCAGAAAGCAGCAGCTGAAGCACTGTTGGCTTCTGGGTAGTGTAGTTCTTTTGACGTGCGTTACAGTGTAAGCTTATTTAAAGAGCATTACAAAATGGCGGAGCCTGTCTGAAGTTTTTTCGTTAACTTTTTACCCCGTACCGTCCCAATCACATGAGTAATATTAAAGTTGACAATCGTGTGTCGTACAGTCTTATGATGAAAAACCTCGAAAGAGCCAGTCCTTGAAAGTCGAACCGCGAAGTAGCGAGGGACTGTAGCCGTTTTTAATGTTTTTTTTTTTCCTGGTTTTCAACATGACATGAAAGAATGCATTAACTAATATTAAACCTCCACACTTTGGCCTGACACCGTTTGTTTAGTTTGCTGCTCTTATCTCAACTGAACATTTGTGTTTCTACGAGCGAACAAAGACCAAAAGTCGGTTGTCTTAAAAACACTCATTTCTAAAGTTTCATGGAGGTTCATGTGAACTCTATTGTACAAACATTTAAATCGTCATCAGTTTCACTTTACAGTTACTTTGGTGAAAGTCATAATTGAATTCCTGCCTGATGTGACCCATGGACGTCCCCAAAGTGTTGCACGTTGCTACTTCTGTTGCTCCGTACGTTCGTAAATTATCGTAAACGCTACGTGAATAAACACTCAAGGTGAAGCTGGCGTAGGTGTAAAAGTTTATAAAAAAGAATTTGTGTAAAATGCAGTAAAGTGAGTCTGGAGTTGTTTCAAGTTGGCAGCAAAACAGGAAGTCAGTCAGACTTCTGCAGCCACCTGAAGCCATTTGTCATGTTAGGAGAGGGTTTTGTTTATCTGCTGCATGCACACAAGGACAGTTGCACACAAACACCCCAAAACACTTCGATTGAACCAGATAAGCCTTAATGGCACACGGATAAAATACTGATACATGGAAGGCTGAGCTCCCGTCCCCTTTAAGGGGAGGAGGTTAGAAAATACAGGGACGGACGCTTCCGGTGTTTGGAGCTTCGTCAAGCCTCAGCGTCGAACTTGTAACTTTTCCTGCCTTAAAAGAAATTAAATGGTAAAACTTTATTTGTATCATACGTTATTTGTGCCGGCGCAAACCTTTTCTCCACCTGGGAACAAAAGAGCCGGACAAAAACGCAGTGGTCGAACGGCGATAGTTACTTCAGACGGTGAAGCGATGAACAATCTGAACAGCTCGGAGGCGTATTAGTATCTACACAGTAATAAGGTCGGCCATGTTTTGTTAAGAGGTGGGACACAATCTTATTTACTTTAAAGAAGACATAGAGCCCAGCCAAAGTCTTAAAGTCCTCCATCACTGAGCTGGGGTAAACTGCAGAGAAAATTGTAATACCGAAGATGAATAAATACTATAATGCTGTGCCCTTCTTACACTTGAAATCATACCTGATGTTCTCGTCACTGTTTTCAATCCTTCTGAGGATCCGGCGTCTCTTCTCCAGTGGTTTATTGTAGCCCAGCCGCAAAGTAGGATGCAGGTTTTCCTCTGTTGGCCATTTGTCAACAAAGTGAAATGTGCACACATTCACTGTCAAGATCAGATTTATCAGCCACATTCTTCTTAATTCCTCATCTGTAGGTAGGCGATAGAAACTATACCACCTTTCACGGGAACACTTTTTGTTTTGTGTCTGTGTTCACAACACTGTTGTTGTAGACACTGATTTAGTTTGGTCTGGTTGTTCCTGCAGCCATGAACACAACAGGTACCTGAACACAGCACGGCTACGGTAATTTAGTAAACTTTACGGTTGTTAAACAAATGTGAATAAAACAAAAAACAATTTTATCTGCTAAACCGAATGCAAATTACTTTCAAATAAACCGCGGTCTGTGCTCCGCTACCATAATTAACCAATCCTTACTGCTACTTCCTGTCTGACAGGAAGTAGTACCCATAATCATCCATACAGTGGAGCCCGCAGGAACAAGGTGGATAGCTCAATTGAATTTTAATTTTTTATAACTTTTTCACAGAACTTCACAACTTCTGAACGCTTACTCTCTTAAGGGTGGCAATCTTAAATGTTCCCTATAATACAATTTCACAGCTTTAAACGTCCTCAAAATAAACAGTTCTCCAACTATTTTTGGCTCTTTTACTCCCATAAAGACAATATTTTTTAATACAATACAACTTTATTTATAAAGCACTTTAAAAAAATACAACAATAGAACAACTTCTGTTAGAGCACTGAATGACGATTTGGTTCCTGTAGCAGATGAGTCAATAAAATACTTAGACAGGTTACACAATAGTTATTCATACTGTTCCTACTGCCACCTTACACCCAAAAATGTACTTTTGCCAATCAACTCCTAGGACACAACATACTTTATTAAAGTACTTTTAGATTTTAACGCTGACTTGTATTTTTTGCATGCCGAACCACTTCATAAAGTTTGTTATTGTCACTCACACGTAG